ATGGCTTCACTGAGTTACGCAAGCCCCTTCGCCACGACAAGGCAGTGATCCATGAAGGGAACTAGAAATGTGACTACATCCTAATAGATGCCATTTTGTTTCCTTGGTTTTCTCTGTAGTTCTTAAAATAAAGTTTTAGAACCAAAAATTAATTGCCTTTCTTTCACTTTTGTGATTTTGTCACTAATCAAATGTGTACATATTTTTCAGCAATCTCCCCCAGAACAATTATTTTTGGCTTATGAGTATATTGACAGAGCAATTAGCGCAATTAATCGAGCTCACATGCTAACAGTTTTACCTGATGGAGCATCAGTGCTTGATAATTATTGTAAAAAGGTAAGCAATGCAAAGTAACAGATCACTGCACATGACTAGTTGAAAAGTTTTACTGACTCTGGAGCAATTGTCCACAGATTGGTTATAGTTTTTGGCAGCATGGTGAGAAGAACACCTTTTTTTCTAACCGTATCAGAAGGGTATGCAAAGGAAAACCTTGATCAGCCATTTTTAAAGCAAAATGCTATGAACTGATGAAACACAAATTAAGAAATTAATACTAACTATTAAACACGGGTTAGCTGTATTATGCTTTGGGATTGTGTGGTAGGCAGTAGCACAGGAAATGTACTGCAGGTGGAAGAAGCAATGGATTCAATTAAATAGCAGCATATCCTGGAGACTAATTTCCCCTAGCCAGTGAAGAAGCTGAAGCAAGGCAACAATCTAAAGCATAGATAACTACGGTCATATAAAAAATCAAAAGTACTGGAAAGAAATGCACAGCATTATTTTTAAAAAATTAAGAATAAAGCTCAAAGGGAAACTTCAGTTTTTTCTAGTAGGAATCTTTCCAGAACAAATAAAAACTACCACAATTTATTAATATATATCTGATGGCTGCGAGGGCAAATTTGGCCCAACATTGGAAAAGAGATACTTTGCTGACAATGTTAGACTGGGAAACCAAACGTGGGGAATATGCAGTAATAGCAACAGTATACATCCAGAACAGAAGTTTGACTAAGTCTAAGCAAGAATGCCTTCCTTATATATTACATGTCACACAACAAGGCAGACTCAGATACTTAGAGTATGGTTTTTAGGGGGGGAATATTTGATGTAAAAATAGTAACCAGAAGCAGTTTTAATGTTTATAAATAATTTGATGTAATCACTAGTCGGGTACAATGGGAGATAATCTAGAACTTAATATTGTCTTTACTGATTGTTCTTAGTATTTGTTTTTCATTTTTCATTTTTTTATCAGGTTATGTCTATGTATTGTAGATAATGATAAATAGTGGTGACACTAATGTTTAGAGTTTTACAGTGATTTTTAATCATTTCTCAAGATGGTATAATAAGTCTAGTTTCATATAATGAATTTCAGATTTTATGACAATTGTAAGTTGTCTGTTTATTTGCTGATAATTTATTTTCCATCCACTATGTCCTCTTTCACTTTCTTCTTTTTTCTTTCATGTAGTCATTTGTTTTATTCCATAAATGTTTGAAATAAATTTTAAATATTCAACCCCTTAGTTAACCATGCAGTCATTACAGGAAATATAGATAAAAATTTTGGAATTACCTGACTTGAGTATTATTGAAATTATAGGAGATTTCAAATATGCTGTGCATGCAAGGCAACCTCAGAATATTTCTGTGCTAGAAGAGTTCTGAAAGAGTGGGGGGGAAATCCTGAAAGCAAGAATAGAAAGACTGTTAGTGGGCTATAGAAAATGTTTGGAAAGCTGTTGTATCTGCCTAAGGCAGTGTTAGTAAGTACTGCCTGGAAGCCTGTCCAAACTTCCATAGCTGCTGTATTCAGTTTTTTAAAAAATTGAATCTGTAAACAACTGTACATAAATAATAAGTATATATTTCAGTTTGCAGAAAGTTGTTTTTACACTGTCTAGAGATTGTGTCAGCTTCTGTTCAGCTTAAAATTCATTGAAGCATATCATTTCACTAGGAATGCCTGAAATTTTGTGTACATCTATACATTTGACCAGGATGCTTGAGTTTGAATTCCTGTACTGGGAAGTTGGACTCAGTTGCAGTATACAAATGGCCTTTCTAATAATTCTATGGAACAGTATATTAAAGGAAATGTGGGATACTTGATGATGATGATGATGATGATGATGAACCTTAATAACTTATCTGAGTTAGAAAATATTTTTTTCTGTTGCCTTTTGTGGGAGTTTTTTCCCCCTAAACCTTATGATTTGTTTTTATTTATACCTGTGGTTTGTGTTATACTAATTATTATTCTTTACTGTTTTACCTGCTTTAATAGAACCAATAACACATTTCAAAAGAATGCTGAATAGTCATTTTGAAAAATGTTTCCTAAAATATATAAAGATGAATTGGCAGATTTTCTTTTAATCAGATGACTACAGAAGAGCAGAATTTTAATAACATTTTATCATCTGATAATGAGAGATCAGCAATAGGAAACAATTTTATTATGGATTTACATATTGAACTTATTCAGGCTCAGCACCGAATAGCAGTTAAGCTACTTAACACAACACAAGGTAGGTAAAGTAAGGTGAAATAATTACTTTCTGGTAACAACATTTCATACTGGAGGACCATTCCAATTTTATTATGTGTCACAAAGATGAAAATATAATTTTTAAAAAAGCTTAGTATTCATTTATTGTGTATTTTTTAATAGTTTATTTATGGATGCAGATTGTTTCTGTCAAGGTACTATTCTCACTGAATATTATTTACATATTTCCAGTGTAAAGTTGTAAAAAATGAGCTTTTTCTACCCAGCTAAATTTTTGGCTCTGCTTATGCCTCATATTACAGAATTGCAAGTATGGCCTCTATTGCTTAGTGTTTGCAGGTAGTCTTTGCCTAACAACCACAACTGGGACCGGAATCTCGGTTGTTGAGCAAAGCGGTCGTTAAGCAAGACACCCATATGATTGCTTCGCTCAACGACCGCAATCCAGGCACTCCCTGTTGCAGTTGTTATGCGATCTCCTGGGTCGTTAAGCGGACAGAACGAAAGAATAGCCTTTCGCTCTCAAATGTTCCTAAAGCCTGCCGAAGGGTTTGCCCTCCCCTCCTTGGACAGAAGGGAAATCCTTTCTGGGGCTGAAGGAATGGAGCTCAAATCTTCAGAATTTGAGCTCCGTTCCTACCCACCACTGAGTGGGGAGGGGAAAGCCCTTGGCAGTGTGAAGGAAAAGAGTTCAAATCCTGAAGATTTGAGCTCCATTCCTTCACACTGCTGAGTGGAGTGGGGAAACCTCTTGGGGTTGGATAGGAACAGAGCTCAAATTCTGAAGATTTGAGCTCTGTTCCTTCACACTGCTGAGTGGGGAGGGGAAACCACTTGGCATTGGGTAGGAACGGAGCTCAAATCCTGAGGATTTGAGATCTATTCCTTTGCACCGCTGAGAAGGGACGGGAAACCCCTTAGCGTGAAGTTTTACAATGGCAGGAAGTGCTTTATGGGCCCTAAAGCACCCTTTCCGAGGCTGTTGTAACTTATTACTTTCATTAAATGAACAGTTGTTAAGTGAGGACTACCTGCACAACTCTGAAATTAATAAATTTGCCTCTTTTTCTTTTATAAAGATACTTTTTAATTTTTTTTTCACACTTACACGTGCTGCTCCCAGGTTCAGCTTATGGTCACTCACTCACACACTCACAGCCTGTTGAGGCACGCGGATCTTGTCAGCCCCCCCTTGCTTTCTACCTGGGTTTTCCAAAAACCCACACACACAAATCACTTCCAACCGAACACTGAGGCACAAGAGATTCTTTGTAATACATGGAGACCCAGTGAATTTAAAGTAACAGCAAAACTTTACTGGTTGCAAGGTACATTTGCTCACGTGCTGCTCCCAGGTTCAGCTTATGGTCACTCACTCACACACTCACAGCCTGTTGAGGCACGCGGATCTTGTCAGCCCCCCCTTGCTTTCTACCTGGGTTTTCCAAAAACCCACACACACAAATC